GGCCTAGACAAGATGATGGATGGAGGATGCTAGGCTGTTACAGCTCCCTGATAAAGGCTAGTTCCTCTTCTGCCAGGTACATAAACCATTCCAGATGGGAAACTTGCTGGCTTACGTGTAGGTGGGAGAGGAACTGTCAGCAGGCTTGTGGGGGAGGGGCGCCCATCAGGAAACAGGAGGAACACAGACAAGATGGGGAAGCCTGGTGTCAGGGAAGGGCCAATCCATAGCTCAAGCTGCCAGTCTGAAGAGGAGTGGGAGGCCCTACATGCCAGGCTCAGGGGGCTGGGCCAGCAACAGGAGACAGGGAGGTCTCTGGACAGAGGGGCAAGGTCAGGTACAGTGGGCCCCTGGTCTGAGAGTCTTGTACCTGGGGAAGGCACGGGACACCTGGTACAGAGGAGCACACTTGTGGGAAGCAGGCCCTTGGCCTTCTGGCCTAGTGCCTCCACTGTGTATCTTTAGGCTAGGCCCTAACACAAAGAAGCAGAGAAGCCAAAGATGCAGCCAGAGAGCAGGTAGTGTGTGTGGGCTAACCTTACCTACGTGGTTGGGGATCAGAGGCTCTTCTCAGGGTGTTCTTTGAGACTTGGCATTGAGCTCAGTTTCTTTTTCTTTTCTTTCTTTCTTTGATTCTTTCCTTCTTTTTGTTTTGTTGTTTTGTTTTGTTTGTTTTGAAACAGGGTTTCTTTGTGTAGCCCTGGCTGTCCTTGAACTCATTCTGTAGACCAGGCTGGCCTCGCACTCAGAGACGTGCTTGCTCTGCCTCCCAAGTGCTGGGATTAAGGCCTGTGGTGCCACCACCCCGGGAGTTCACAGTTTCTAAACTCTGCCACAGTTACAGGATCCCGTGAGTCTTCAGGCTGCTTTGAGAGGAATCAAGGCTGGGAAGACATGATTAGCCTTATTCTTAAGACGGAGAGACACAGGCCCGGACAGGGGAAGTGACTTGTCCAAGACCTACAACAGATGTGTGGCTTAGTTGGGCTGGAATCTAGGCCTCCTGCCTCCCCCTCCCGCCCTGCTCTCTGTCCTTAGAACTGAGAGTTGGGTAAGACATTTGCACTGGGTCTGCGTGAACAGTGACTGGAGCCAGAGAGAGGCTGACAGGCATCGGCAGACAGCACTTAACCCAGATTGACAAGTTAATTGTGCAAACGAGGAGGAGGTAGAGCTGTATGCAGAGAAATCCAGACCGTCTGAGCCTCTGGGGATCCTCCGCCAGCACCCCAGTTGCTGGGGAAACAGGAGGAGGTGGGTGATGTCACCAGATGCAGCTCAAGAATGGAGGCTGGGACACCCATCTACTTCTTTGGGGCTGTGGGCCCAGCCTCAGGCTCTTGCCCTCAAGTATAACCCCTTCCCTTACAGTCGGGATTCATGGAGAGCCAGCGGGTGGTAGTGAGTTGCTTGAGGTCTCACAGGTGATCAGAGCCCCAGTGAGCCTGGCCCAGGAAAGGCTGTTTGTCCAAGCAGTCTACAGACAGGTGGAGAACAAGACTAAGCCAGTCCTCCCAGGACCCATGCCCAGCTCACGGCCTTACAAACCACAGATGTGTGACCGTGGTGAGGGCTCCTTGATCCCTCTGCAAAATAGAAGCTACATGGGCTGGGGTGGTGACCGTCAAATGCATAGGAGCCGTAAATGAGCAAGAGCCCTGCATCGCCCGCCACTCTCACTGGCTGAGGGGACACTGAGCTCAGAAAGGGCAGATTGCCAGACCAAAGTCACCCAGTAGGGTGGGGAGGCCCTGGGCTCTCAGCAGCCAACTCCATTCTTGGAACCCATAGAGAAGAAACAGTCCTGAGCGTGGGACAGGTAGTTCCACTCGCTGCCATCACTGGGAGGCTCCCATTGTCTCAAGCATTTTCCCAGAGTCCCCAGCTTCTCACCTGTGGCTGAACATGAAGCCACCCACAGCACCAGTAGCGATGGCCCTTAGCCCTGCCCTCCTCTGCACCAGACTGTGGGCTGGTGCTCTAGCTCTTCACTTCCAGTGTTTTCTTTTCTGTTTTTCTGGAACAGGGTTTCTCTATGTAACAGCTCTGGCTGTCCCGGAACTCACTATGTAGACGAGGCTGGCCTCGAACTCACAGAGATCTGTCTGCCTCTGCCTCCTGAGTGCTGGGATTAAAGGCATTCACCTCCAACCAACCCCAACAACCTCCAATGTTTTCAACTCTATGGAAATTAATTTTATTTTGCAGTTCAGGAAACTGAGGCTCAAGAGCCATTGCTCACATGCAGCCAGCCAGAAAGCAAACAAAGTGGGTCGTGAGCCCCAGGTCACTGGCCCTCCAAACACCCTGACTCCCTTCTCTGGCTGATAGGGTAGTGAGCAGTGCCCTCAGTGCCCAGGGCAGGAGGTGGCTGAGTGTGTGCCTTCCTCTTGTTTCTGTTGATAAATGTAACCCCTACCTCCCACCCACCCTCATTTTCTGAGTGTTGGGCTGGGGAGAAATGCCAGTCACAGAGCCCAGCACCCTGATAGAAGACCAGGTCTTCTAGAGATTGTCATCTTTCTAGCTACCTAGCTGGTCTGGGAGGAGTATGTGACCCCGAAGGAACACACTGAGCAGTCTCCCTGGGCTGACCTAGTGAATCTGGGAGGAGCTTCCAGCTCAGTGCTTCCTCCCATGGGAAGAGGAGAAGGCAGGAGGACAAGAAGAACCAGGTGGGAAGGGAGATCACTGGAGGCCCTGAGCATCCCCTGGGTCTCAGTGGCCACTAAGCCTGTATTTCCTTGGGTCCACCCAATGTGGGTCTCTGTCCTCAGCAGTGAGTCCTGCCTGAAGCTCTCTGTGTGCCTGGGGCTATGTTATCCTGTACAGGAGCCACAGAACTAGCAAAGGATCCAATCCTCTAGGAACTGAAGGTCTGGGGTGGAGAGGGGTGTGGGCAGTTGTGGGTTCAGGTCCCTGCTCTCTCTCTGGGCTGCAGTCTCCTATCTTTAACTTGAGGGTACTAGGCTTAATGTGCTAAAGATTCCCCCAGATCTGTATAACTACTGCTAAAAATTGATGCATAATCCACTCATAACCACTTCAAATTCTAGAACACTTCCATCCACAACCCTCTGAAACACCCCACACCCACTAGTAGTGACTCCCTAATACAACTCCCCATCCCAAACTCTAAAAACCATTATTTCCTTCAAAACAAGAACTTTGTGGATTTTTCTCTTCTGCACATTTCAAGTTCATGTTGGAATTTTCCTGTGTTGCAGCACGTATGGACATTCCATTTCTTCTTGTGATGGATGTCACTCCACCGCTTGGATAAGCTGCCTTCTGTTTATCCATTCAACAGCTGAGTGGGCACCTGGACTGTTTCCCCCTTTGGGCCATTATAGATAATGTCGCTATGGACATTTGTGTGCAAACATTTGTATGAGATGTATGTTTTCAATTCTTTGGTGGATATACCTAGGAATGGAATTGCTAGATGATATGGGAACTCTGCATGACTTTGGGAGGGCTGCCAAACAGTCTTCCACAGTTTTTCACATTTCTATCAGCAATGCAACAGGGATCCAGTTTCTCAACAGCCTTGACAAAGCTTGCTATTTTCTGTTGTTTTTATTATAGCCATCTTAGTGTAAAGAGGAATCTCATTCTTTTTTAAATTTTATTTTGAGACAGGGTCATCTGTAGCCCAAGCTAGCCTCAAACTCAATATAGAGCCAAGGATGACCTTGGATTTCTGATCCTCCTCCTTCCACTTCCCGGGTGCTGAGCTTATAGGCATGGTTATGTGCTGTCCTGGGGATCAAACTCAGGGCTTTGTGCATGCCAGGCAAGCATTCTACCAACTGAGCCACATCCCAGCTCTGCATTGTGGTTCTGATTTGCATTTCCCCAATGACTAATGCAAAGGAGCCTCAATCTATGTGATTAGTGGCCATATATATATATATATATATATATATATATATATATATATATATATTCTTTGGAGAAATGTTTATTCAATTTTTATTTTCTTTCCTTTTTTTTTTTTTTAGACAGGGTTTCTCTGTGAAATAGTCCTGGCTTTCCTGAAACTCACTCTGCAGACAAGGCTGGACTCAAACTCACAGAGATCTACCTGCCTCTGCCTCCTGAGTGCTGGGATTAAATGAGTGTGCCACCACCAGCTGGCTCAATTTTTTTTTTTTCCATTTAAAAAATTGGGTAATCAGCCAGGTGTAATGGTGCATGCTCACAATGCTAATACCTAGCAAGCAGAAGCAGGAAAATTAGAAGTTCAAGGCCATCCTCAGCTCTCTTAACAAGAATTAGAGGTCAGTCTGGATGACATAAAACTCCAGCTCAAAAGATTCAAGAAGTGAAAAGAGGATGTTAAACTCTCTAGCCGGGGTCAAGGATGCAGGCAATGGAGAGAAGCCTGTAAGTACAGGGAGTATGATATGAGGTCACTGAGGGGTCTGTAGGCCACACTGTGAGGCTGACAGCATGCCTCTCCTGTATTCTAGTTGGTGAAAAAAACAACTCTGGTATCTAAGTCACAGCTTAGAGGATGCCTTACAAATCCCATTGGGAGTGGCATGACAGGTCAGCAGTGACAACTAGGCATGCCTCCCAGCATGGGCCAGAGTGAGTATTGAATGCTGTTGGCTTCACAGCATGGTGCTTGGGGACCAGGTGTGTGTGTGTGTGTGTGTGTGTGTGTGTGTGTGTGTGTGTGTGTGTGTGTGTGTGTATGTATGTGTGTATGTCTGTGTGAAGGAGGCAGGGAGAAGGTCATGGAGAGAAAGTGCTCAAGAAAAGTAAGAGGGAACTTCCATTTGTAGAGCACCCACTATTTTGCAGGATTCTGGACACATCTCAAATGTCACAGAGGAGCAAGAACTGGGAGGCTCATCCTGTTTCCTAGGACACAAAACCGAGGCAGGCAGAAGGGTGCAGTGGAGCTGGGGTTTGAGCCCTGATCCATCTGTCTTGGGTTGTGAACCCTTCTCATAATGCTTACTTACTGGAGAGGGAGGGATGGAGGGGGAGAGGGAGGGAGGGAAGGAGGGAGGGAGGGAGGGAGGGAGGAAATTGGCGGGGGACACAGAGAGGTCCAGCAGAGGGATAGAACCACACTGAGAGGAGAGGGAAAAATAAAAAACAGGGTGGAAAGAACCCTGTGGCCTGACTGAGGCCTGCACTGGGTCCCTGAGGCATCAGGCCAGGGAGGGGACAGCAGAAATCAGCTCACTGAACCTGGAGCCAAGAAGCAGTCTTGGCTTTTGCATGGTGGAAAAGCTCTCACCTCCAGACACTGCAGAGGGGAAGCTGGCAGGGGGCTGGGGGTGTCTGCCCGGGAAGAGGGCAGCAGCAGACCCATCATCCAGCTTAGTAATGGCTGTGGCTGCTCCCCAGCAGCCCTTGACTCCTCAGCATATAGAGCCCAGGCCTAGGGCAGGTTCAGAGGGAGCCCGGACAGGGCCATCTTTGCTCACTGGCTGCTTTGAGGACAAAGCTCCCCGGCTTGCAAATAAGGTGGCTCTATGGTCACTCACTCAACTGGGACATGAGAGTGAGAGAGCACCATGCACAGAAGTGGCCATGCATGGTCCCCAAGGCCCTGGCGGCCAGGCCTGGGTATTTTTCTGAAACCTTCTCCAGGGCCCCTGCACTCCATCCACACTGGCCTTCCTTCAGACCCTTTCCTGTGCCATACCCCTTTGTCGTTCCTACATACCACGTACATTGGCTGAGGAAAGCCGATGTCATTCTTAAGGCTGTTAGAACACCGGTGCTTTCTCCTCACAGCGGGGATGCTAATCACAATACCAAACACACTCCACTGAGAAATCCATTGTTTCGCAGTCTAAGGCTGGGAGGGACTTGTGTCATGTACTGGTCACCCAGCTCAAAGGTCTTGGTACATAAACTACTGCATCACCTCCCTGGATCCCTGGACCCACAGCGGTGTGCCAGCCTTGGGTTCTTTGTGTTTGTTTGTTTTTTATATACAGAGAAGGAAGGAGAGGAGATTGAAATTGTCTGTAAGTGCAATGCAGACTTTTGATCACTTGCACAGACTCTGAGACTTTTCGGAAGGGCTCAGGACCCTATCTTCCTGTTTCTGGCTCCCACTTGGGCTTGCATCAGGACCCAGGTTGTGCTGAATGGTTAGCTGTAACACCAGAGTCAGGGAAACAAATCACCAGAAACCAGAACTAGAGGAGCTCTGGGAATCAGGAGCCTCTTTGCTGCAGAGGCTGAGTACAGCCCAAGGTTGCCATAGGCACCCCGAATATCAGCCTCCTCCTCCTCTGCCATCTTTTCCAATCAGCCACATTATCAAAAACACGGAGGGAGAGGCTGGGGTTCACTTAGTGGAATGCTTACCTAGTACACATTAAGTCCTGGGTTCAACCCCCAGCACTGCATACCCAAAATTCCAGCACTTAAGAGGTAAAGGCAAGGAGGTCAGAAGTTCAAGGTCATCCTCAGTTCCATAGCCGGTTGGAGACCAGCTTGGGACACATGACACCCTGTCTCCAAAAAGAGGAAAAAAAATCTTGTTAAGTGTACAGTTCACTTAAGTATATTCAAAGTTGCATAATCATCCCTTCTATGATCTTCAAGAGCAGGAAACTGAGGTCCAGAGAAGGGCAGGACCTTTCTCTATGTCACGTGACTGGCTGGTTAGTCAGCAACAGAGTTAGAGTCCAGGCCTCTGACCCCCCATCTACCATATTCAGGTGACACAGGGGCTTCTCTGACAGGCCCTCCCTGCCACACTCTGGCCATGAGAGGTGTCTAGTGGAGGCTGCTGAGTGGAGTCAACGAGATGGATGTGACAGTACCCTCAGACTGTCCCTCTGGCTGTCCCCTGACTGTCCCTCTGGCTGTCCAGAGCTGTTGAAGCCCAGAATGAGGCTGAGAATTCAAGCTTTAGAGTGCCATGTCCAGCTCACTTCCTGCTTCCACAATCACCAGTGACCTTCCTCAGTTTGGGGTGCCCTACCTCCACATGACCAGAGGGTGTCATCTTCTGAGTCCCTCAAACCCCTCCCCTTTCTTGGTGAGGCTGCCTGACTGCCTTGTGTGGAACGGGTAACCAGGCCGGATAACCAGGCCCTGGCCCACCCTCTGGCACTCTGCCCCTCCTCCAGATGAGTTTTTCTTCACAGCCCAGAACACACTCTGTCTGATGTGCTGGAATACAATGTGGCCTGCAGAGGGGCTCGTCAGAGGACCGACTCCCGGTGTAAGGGCATTGACAGGGGAACCCCACGGGAAGGTGACTCACCACCTTCATGAATGGATTCATGCTTTTCTTAATACATTAGACTAGTTCTCACAAGAGGGAGTTAGGTCTCTCCACCTGGATTATAAGTCAACCTACCCTCCGTCCCTCTCTCACACATTCCTTCTGCACATGCCCACTTCGTCTTTCCATTTTTTCACCATGAATAGATAAAGCACAAAGCCCTCATCAGAAGCTGATAGATGTGGCTATCGTATCTTGGGCATCTGAGACCATGACTCGGTTCAGCTTCTTTAGTAAGTACCTTACCTCGGGTATTTCGTAATAGCAACAATAGAAACACCTTCGTTATTGGCTCATTGTGTCTCCTCCATTGCGCTGTAGTTCCAAGAAATGTCTTGACAATGCCTGGTAGAGAGAAGGTACTGGGTAAATAGTGTTGAATGAACGCTATTTGGCTGGCATCGTGCTGTCTCAGAGCAATGCTCAAGGGAAGAACTCTGAGGCTTGTTTTAGGGATATCAGCTGAGGTTGAGAGAGCCTGCCTGGGCCCTAAAGGCCACCATTTCCCCGACCTTGGTATTGTTAGGGGAACTGGAACAAAGTCAGAGTGGCTTTAAGAAAGAAGGGGATAAACTTCTGGATTTTGTCATTGTGTTTAGGACCCCAGAAACCGGAGGTAGTCTGGGATCCAGCCTGTGTGTTTTCTGTGTAAATTCCTGGAGCCATTTAGCTTACATTCCATGTCTCAGCCAAAAATGGAAAGAAAAAGGAAGGGAAAAAAAAAGGCATCATTCATTTTTAAATGGACTTAGCTTTGTGAGCACCCCATGGGAACTGCTGTCCATAATGTCATAAGCCCCAAGGTCCTCTGGGAAATATTACCAGCACTTCATGTGGAGGGCTGGGCCAGGGTCCACCCATCTCCAGAGCTGTGAGCATGTGGCAGACTGTGCTCCATCGGCAAGCCTGGGCCCAGACCCCTGAGGCAGGAAGAAGTCAGGCAGGGCAGGCAGGAGTTCCCTCAGGATACCTCACACTGGAGCTAAAGGTCTTGGATGTCTACCTTCTGGGGGCTTTATCATATACATGATAGGCAATCTGATCTGAGCCTCTCCATGGGATACCCTGCCCTCAGGCGAACCTCAGAGCAGGAAGACAGCCCTGTCCCCGGACTGTAAGTCTTACTTCAGAAGTCAAAGCTGAGTGACTGGGACTGGCCAGGCAGAAACCACCTGGTCAAGCCCACTCCTTTACAATTGAGGAAACAGACTCAGAGAGGAGCAGGATCACACAGCCAATCCACAGAGTAGGCAGGGGGCCTGGACAGTCTTTGGATTACTGGCCAGGAGCATTTCTTACAATATATTGCACTTAAACAGTTACGTTTGGGCGGAAACTGTGCTGTTCCCAAAGACACCAGACCTTTCCAGAATCCGGTCTAAGGCGGTCTTCCAGGATCTGATGTCAAGGATTATTCCTCAGGGAACAACTGTTGGAAAAGGCAGGTGAGATATTGATTATGGCTGGGGTTGAGGGAGGGCAGTTTTGACCAGTGAGGGGATGGGGATGGAGCAAGGAAGGATGGGGGAAGGGGAGTGGAAATTTCTCAGAAAAACTAACCAAAGGTATGTTTTCATATTTTTACAACTGCCTGTATTTTCTACAATCCTCTGGTTAGTTTTTCATATTTGAAAGTGATCAAGTGTTTAATTGTGGTATTCTGTTTAGCGTGGTCCTGTTTCGACTGGGCCTATCTTAGAAAGATGTCTTGGAAGCTTAATGAATCAAAGCTCCCCCGCTCAGGAGCCACGCTGCAGCCTGTGCGTGAGGGACACTCACCTGTCTAAAGACAGAAGGCAGCAACGGAGGAGAGAGGCATCCAGAGAAAAACCAAGGCGCGGGAAAACCCACTTGGGTCACATGCATGCGTGGTCCCAAAGGCCAGCTGTACTGTCCTCCCAGTGCCCCCAGCAGGTCTCCCTGGGGAGGCTGTGTCACCAAGATGTTCGCGTCTCCAAGTCCAGGCTCACCAGGCCACAGCTTCTCAGAGACGTGGGTCCCAAGAGGGAACAGGAGGCTGCCCGAGGTCAGGGTAATGTTAGGACCATGAGGTGAGGTGTTGAGAGAGATCAGTGTGAGGACTGCCCGTGGGAGCCAATCTTGGTTGGTCAGTCACCAGGACCTGCCACCTAGAGAAAAGGTTAATTGATTTTAATGTGTGTGTAGCACTTAAACCTCCAGCCTGGCATGATAATACAAAAGTTCTCAGTCAAAGTTGGCTGTGGTCTGTGGGAGAGAAGGATAGGGTGGTGGGGCCCGAGAAGCCATTGGCTCCTGGATCATGCACCCCGCTGGAAGTCCTGCTTCAGGAGGGTTCAGTTCTTACCTGCCCTGCCTCTACCCAGCATAACCATCTGTGCCACTCTTAGGCACCGAGAACCCCAAGTTGATGGTTCTGAGCTATGGGGACAATTTCCAGCCTTCCCTTCTGGGCACCCTATGATCTCCGGGGCTGAATGGAATCACGGCTCCCTCCTCCTGACTTGCCCTCTATTAAATTACCTATTGCTTACCTCCCACTGGCACTAAACTAGACCTCAGAGGCCCCAAATGCTAGAATGTCAAGTCTTCTGTGTATACCCCTTGCCTGTCCCTCTTCTAGTGATGGACACACAGGGGCCCAGAGTCGGAAAGCCAGGCCCTGCCCCCAGGCTGCAGAGCTGGTGAGCCACGGTGGGCTGGAGCTGGGCCAGGTCTGGGGCTCTCCTCCCAGCCTCCTCTGCTCTCCCCAGGTCCCCAGAGGCCACTCTGGAGATGCTGCCTCCCCCCCACCTCCGCGGCCACCCCTCACCTGGTCTTTGTTTGCATCCTTTGCGATCTCTGTCTCGGGGTAATGCTCGCCAAGCCAAGCAGGGTCAGCCGCTAATGCGCTTCAGATGTTCTCAGGCTGGAGGCAACCGGTCCTCCAATACAGCACTGATTGCGAAGCCTAGCCTGGCCTGGCCTGGCCAGTGTGCTCTGGTGTGGTTAGGTGTGGTGTAGTGTGGTAAGGCTGGTGCTTCCCAACACAGGTAACTAAGTTCCTGCGGGGACACAGCTGGCGCCTCTGTTTAACCTCCAAAACCTCCCTAGAGCCACTGTGCCTAGAAGATGGGAAGGGGGCGGGGCTGGAGGCCCCTTGGTTTTTTCCTTTGAATCTTTCTGGACTCTGAGCTGGCATTTCCCCAGGGGTAGCTGGCTCTGTGCACACTTTCGGATGTGACAAATGTCGCCATCCCTGTGGATCTACAACTATCATTCTTCTGTTCACAGAACAAGAAACAGAGGTTTGGAGAGGTCAAACTGGGGTTCCCGCTCCCGGTGAGAGCCCACTCTGCGTCCTGTGTAAAGTGAGGTGTTTCAAAAGCCCAGGATGGTGCTTTGAGAAGGGTGAGGCTGTCATCCAGGGTTCCAGACGCTGAGGCTGGGTTTGCAGCTGACTCATGCCTCGGTCTTGACAAAGCAGTAGATCTGAGACTGGGGGGTCATCGGCTCCTCTCAGGTGAGGTAATGCTTCCTGCCTCATCACCTCAGCCGTGCCCAGCATGTGCTCTAGGAGCTACCACCCCCCGGGGGGGGGGCGGCTTTGTCAAGAGCTCGGCTCTAGAAGCTGTGGCTTCTTAGCCGAGCTAACCTGCCGCGCTCCTCTGCCTTAGTCTTTCTCACAAGGCCATTTGTGACGTTCACTGAGCTAATATTTGTAGAGGGCTAAAAAGGATGCCTGGGCCAGGCTCACACCCAGCCCATGTCTTAGCTACTGTTATGCTTAACCTTGTGGAAACTGAGGCAGTGCAGTACTGGAGTCTCAGCTTAGCTTCCAGCTGGCCCCCTGGGGCAGGTTGTTGAAGTCTGGAGAACTGGGTCCCCCTCCCAGCATTTCGGTTTATGAGTCTGGATTGGGACCTGAGAATAGGCATTCCCAGCGTATTTCTGGGTCATGCTGGTATCTGAGGACCTGCTGCTCTAGGGGACTTGGCTGTGGCTAACAGGCGCACTTTGGTGTGTGAGTAGGCAACGGGAGATTACAGTGATTATAAATAAAGGGTGTTGGATGAGTCCACAGCACCTAATTCTGAATTTGTTTCCAACTCCTTGGAGGACAGAATTTAGGTCACTTTCCCCATGTATCCTGGGCTGCTTCTTCCATAAAACAGGGGCCACTAGGAACCCTTCCTGCAGGGCTGTTTGGATGGCTCAGGGCCCTGCGCCTAGACACCTGCAGTGGCCATCAATGCAGCACAGACCCAAAGATGGCTGCATGGGTGGGAGGGGCCGGTTGCCATGCTTCCACATCACTAACTGCAGGCCACCCCCAGGGCTCATCCCTGGTTTATTCCTGATTTCCTGAACCCAAGCCGGGATGGTCACCGCCACACTGTCCCCAGGCAGGATGCTTACTCCGGCCACAGGCGGCATAAAGGGGCCTGTGTCCTGGCCGCTTGCCTCCCCCCCACCCCCTGCGTCCAGTGGGTTTCTATTTCAGTTGATGTAAAAATATCACCTTTGATCTCAGCTTGTGGTGAAGAAGAGGAGGAGGAGGAGGGGGAAGAGGAGGAGGAAGAGGAGCACCACTGATGGGCTGTTTTCCTTCTCCCAGTCCTCCACCTCTCCCCTCAGCACCCTGCTCCCTCCCCTCCCCACCAATTCTCTCCCCAGCTTTTTTATCCTTTGGCGCCAAAGCCTCAAGCCTTCAGGAATCTGCGAGCCCTACCTCTGAGTCCATCTCCCCCGCATGCCGCCACGGTGGGGTTGGATACTGAAGGAACAGTATGAATGAGGGGCCTGTGAGGGAAGCTGCCCTCGCTCTCCCTCCCCCTCCCCCTCTCTCCCTGCCCCTTCGCTTCTGCTCCTGGGCCAAGAATCTCCATGATTCCCTGCTCGATTGGGTTCGTTCACTTCTCAAGCGCCTGGTATCCATCACAGCTCTACAAATGTGAAGTCTCCAGGCCTCCCCAGAGTGGAGCAGGAAGGCTTGAGGAGCCTAAATGTTTACATCACTCAGAGAGCCCAGCAGCAGCCCATATTTGCCTGGAGGGGTGCCCTTCAGCAAAGGGTTCCCCTCTCCATCAGGGGCACACTATGCTGTTCTTGTCCCCAGCACACACTCATCCAACCCTCAAATCTCTTTTCTCTGCACACACTAGGGAAGCATTCAGAGGCCACTCAGCTCTGCTACCCTTTGTCCTGGCCCCTGTGCTGGCCATCTGAGACATCCAAGAGGCTGCCCCTCCAAGCTGATGCCTCTGAGTAAAAAGTCACCTTCCCACCTCCTGACTGTTCCTACCCTGGCACCCTTCTGCCTAGTGAGGCCATCTCCAAGGGTCCCAGTTCTGGCCTGGCCAGGCCGTCATACCACCTCCTTGAGAAGTCTCTTGGCTGACAGACGTTTTTGTGCCAATGGAGACAGCAAACAAGCCTTGAACCTCTGACTCACCTCAGTGCTGAGCTCTTGTGATGTATTCTTTTGGCTCCGGCTTTTTAGAGAAGGGCAGAAATACCACTCATTCAACAAACACCTCACAGCTCATCCACACCCAGCTCTGTGCTGACGTGGCCAATGCCTTTCCTTAGCGAGAAGGCCCTCTAAGGTGGAGACACAGGGGACAGAGAGACAGGTGTTCAGGAAGGCTGGGGACAGATGCAGGAAGGTTACCTGGAGAGGTAGAGCAGAAACGCAGAAACGGCAAGGCTAGAAATTTCTGAGAAGCTGGGGCAGCCTGGAGGTCAGGACCTTGTATGAATGGAGCCACAACCTAAGTGTTCAAGGTAGGGTGTGGATTTCAGTTGAGCAGTAGGGCTGGGATTGGGGGTCAAGTCGCAGGTCGCCAGCAGTGGTAAGCAAAGAATTGGGTGGCTAGTCCCAGGCAGAGGAAGTCCCTACAGGAAGCCAGTGGGATGCATGGACTGTTCATAAAGAAGGTCTGTCTGGGGACAGGAGGTCTTGTCTGGGGACAGGAGGTCTTGAGCAGAGGATGAAAGGTTCTGGGTGTGTGTCCAGGCCACAACCTCTTTTAGCAGGAACCACAGCTCACCAAGGCCCCGACTGAGTCCTCTCACAAAACAGCCCACAAACTCTGGGCAAGGCAGCAGGCACAGCCAGAGTGGTCACCACTGGACAGGGGGATCAGGATGCAGACCTGACTCATTCATGTCCCCAGGGCCCAGCCCAGGGCTGGATCAAGCAGGCGCCAGTGACAGCACGCTGTGGACTAAAAGATGCTTTACAAATGCTTCCAGCCGACTTGAGGTTTTTCTTTCTGTCTCACATCCTCAGACCTGAGGAAGTGGGAGGCTGTAACCAGTCTCCAAAGACACTTCACACAGCTGTAAGGAGTTTGAGAGTCACTGAGAAAAAATCTTTTCCCTCTTCCCCCGGGCCAGGTTTTGCCGCCTCAGTTTCCCCTTCTTGACACTAAGATGTGTGCGCGCACCCCTGCGCCTGTCCGAGCTCACGGAAGGACCACAGTTACTGAAACTGGCTGGAGCTGCCTGTTCCTCTGGTGGCCTTGCAATGGGGGCCACCTCTCCAGGCCAAAGAGATGCAACTCCTGCACCCCCAAATTCATTAGGGCTGCACACTGGCTGCACTTCCCGGGCCCGAGGGGAGGCGCACAGTGGAGGCCGCTTTTCTCAGTGAGTCTAGACCATACTGCCTGCAGCTGCACCAGGAGTCTGCACATCTGGCCTGGCTCAAGCCGGGCTCTGGCGACGCCAGTCCGCCTCCCACCGCTGACGTCTAGGAGCCGGGCGGCGCAGTACCTACAGCGGCTATGGCGCCCGGGACAAGGAGCCCCGTGCAAGGCAGGACAGGGCAGAATAGGGCCGGACTGGGCCGGACTGGGCCGGACCGGGCCGGACCGGGCAAGGCGGAGCAGGACAAGGCAGGACCGGGCAGGGCAGGGCAGGGCGGGACAGGACGGGGTCGGTAGGACCCGAGTAGATGAGGCAAGGCGTGGCTAGGCGTGGGAAGGGCGCGGCGGGGCGGGGCAGGGTAGGATTGGACCGGGGCAGGATGGTGCAGAACCGGGCAGAAACGGGCAGGAACGGACAGGAACGGGTTGGATAGGGCAAAGCGTGGCAGGGCGCGGCGGGGCGGGAAAGGAACCGGGAAAGGTGGGTCTGGGCGGAGCACAGAGGGGTGAGGGAGGATGGGGCAGGGCGGGGCAGGGTAGGTTAGGACGAGGCGGGGCTGTTTGGGGCGCCTCCCTTACCTTCCACAATCTGCTCAGCTCCAAGAAACGTGGTCTTTCTGCATTCGCATCCGCAGATCTCTGCGTCTCCCTAAAGCGTGGTGCAGCAGCCGCCCTGTCCTGGCCAAGAGACCCTGAGCTCGCGGCGACAGAGTTTCTGTGCCCTGGTCTTCCATGGCCGGCTCGAGCTGGTTCCCATAGGGCAGGAAAGAGAGCACAATCGGGACGTGGATCTCCCACCACCAGCTATAGGTTTAGCACACAGCACCAGTGCAGGCTCGGGCAGCATCACTTAGAAAGTAAAATGAGAACTGTCAGCAGCTGTGGCTCGTTGGTCTAGGGGTATGATTCTCGCTTAGGGTGCGAGAGGTCCCGGGTTCAAATCCCGGACGAGCCCTACTTTTCTTTATCAATCAACATCTAAAAGATGGCACCTCTCTATAAAACTTTTCGTTTTAGAAAAGGAGCTCCTTCCTGCCTGTCTGTCTGCAAGAAACTGCGGTGAAAGCAGCAGGAAAACGTTAAAGAAAAAGAAAAGCGGGGCTCGTCCGGGATTTGAACCCGGGACCTCTCGGACCCAAACCGAGAATCATACCCCTAGACCAACGAGCCAGCTGCTAGGCTGGCTGCACTAGCTCTTACTAGAGGGAGTTAGGCATGAGCATGCGCGTACGCCTGCGCAGATCAGCAGGCAGCTCGGCAGGCAGAGCGTGACTGCGGTGGGGCAGTCGGTGTGTACCCTGGATAGCCAGGCTCGAATTCAATCCACGAGTGGCCGCGACTGTGCCCTGGCACGCTGCGCCCTGTTCGTCCCAGAAGAGCGCCTTCCTCTCTGCCCTCCTGAAGCTCTCGGCCAGCGGCGGGTCGGCGCTCACCCTGCGTTTCCTGCCCGGGCTCCGCCCCCTGGCCAGGCATCCAGCAGGCGCTCATCGCTGCAGGCCAGGGCTGTGCATCTGGGCCTGGGTGAGGGCGACCCGAAGCGCCGGGAGAACCCAGGGAGGGTGATCTCAGTCCAGAGACAGTGGGGGGCTGGGGGCCGAGGGCCGAGCCGGACTCCGTCCTTGTTCATTCCTTTAGCGGCAAAGCCTTCCCCGGTACACGCTCGCTTCCGTCCAGGCCCACCCATCTTCCCCGGAGTCTGCCCGCTCTCTTTGCACAGTTCCAGTCTCTGGCGTGGAAGTCGCCGCACAGAAGTCCCCTCTGTCCTCACGGAACCGAACAGAACTCACAGCAAACTGGATTCTGTTTCTCTCAGCCTCTCAAGGTTTAAAAAAAAAAAAAAAAAAAAAAAAAAAAGCTACCTTCATTTTCCTGGTGAGAAAAGGGATCAGAGAGGTTTGATGACTTACTCAAGGTCACACAGCTGCAAGCGGCAAAGCTGGGCCTGGAATTGAGGTGTCAGTTGTCTCTCACTGCCTTGTTTTTCCCCACGTCTGCACTTCCACGCAGATGTGTACATCATGCTGTGCTCACATATGTTCTCCAGGAAATATTTGGGATTGTGTGGGAAGAATTTACAAAGAAGAGCGCGGTTCTCCACATTGATGTGCCCCGGACCCCCCCCCCCCCAACCCCCCAGTAACTCCTGGCTCCGCTGTGTGGTGCTGCTTCTGAAAATGACATTACTCGGCCTGTCCCAGCAAGGCCTCCATTTTATGCACATTCTTGTCTGAACACTTGAGAAGGCATGGCAGAGCGGGCCAAAGCTTTGTGGGTTCTGAAGCACTTTTAAGTTTCACGTGAGGAGCTGCAGAAGGTAGCAAGGACCTTACCATGCGCGCCAGGCACCGGCTGAGGTCTTTTGCAGACGTCGCCTTTGAAACTGTTTTTTACTGCGTCGCGGGGAGGGGGAGTCGGAGGACAACCTGTAGGAGTGAGTTCTGTCCTTCCATCGTGTGTGTCCGGGGAACTGGACTCAGGACACAGGCATGCATGCCCCTTGACCTGCTGAGCCATCTGACTGAGTTCTCTCAGCAGCCGCTCCCCCACCCACCCACCCCCCGCCCCAGATGCAGCAGCTGGAGTGGACTGACAGGTACCCCGAGGGCACCCATCAGCCATTGTTGAGACTGGGCCCAACCACTTTCTCAGCAGGCTCCTGGTGCCAAACTCCAGGCTTGGGGCTGCAGAGTCAGGGTGAGGGGCACCCAGTTCTGCCCTCTGGAATAGTCCTGGCACGTAGATTTGTCCAGTCCTTACGTCGGGAGCTCACTGTCTCACACCACATTCTGAGTACTTCCTTCACTCCTTGGAGATCACAAGTCATCCCTTCTGTCCACCCCCAGAGTCTCTGCACCTCCTCCCCAGCATGCCTTTCTCTCAGGTTCCCATTATTAAAGAATTCTGGGAATGCTGCCTCCTGCAGGAAGTCTTCCTTGACTGCTCACCCCGTGCCCTGGCCCTCTGGCCTCTTATGTGATGGGGACACATTTCACACACCCCAGGATCCCTCACCCCACCCCGTGGGGCAGACTGCAGCCAATTCTCTGGGTCTTCTGTGCCAAGCTAAGTGCTATGAAAAGGTTGCTGGGAACTGGAAAAGACCTGAATTTGTGCCCAGCTCACAAATCCCTGGGCTTCTATGTAGATTGTTGCTCCTGCCTGAGTCTTGTTCCCTCTGTGTGGCCTCTGCCTCCATCCTAGCCCTGTGGGCAGTAGATGGTACCCCCTTTGCAGAGGTGCCAGCAAGAGCGTTCAGATCCAGTGTCCCTGTTCACGGGGGACCTTTTCTTCTCCTGAATAGCCAGATGGGCTTGGGGTTCCTCCCACCCCGCCTCACATCTAGAGTCCCTTGGCTCCAGCACATGAGCCTGGTAGGTGGAGGGCTTCTGTCTACTCCGACAGAGGCCTTGGCAGGCCCAGGCTGGGACCTAGGAGTCAGGACTCCAGACTTCCCAGAGCCAGGAAGGGAGCGGCTGGGGCTGGGTTCAGCCTGGAGCCCCACAGAGGTCCAGGCTCTTGTCCTACCAATCCATGCAAGAGTGGAAGCAATTGACATCTCTGAAAACAAGGCAAGCCAGACTAAAGGGTTTTAGATACAGGCTCCGTCCAGCAGAGGGGCTGTGGACAGCTCCACTGTCCTGCCTGAGGCTGCTGGGCCACCTTACTTTTCCCTGTGGGCTCCTTGCCACTGGGAGATGAGGACAGGTGCTCATACCCTGAGCTTGCCCAGCTCAGGCCACACTGCCTCTCACTGGACTCCTGACTTCCCGAGATGCTTTGGGTCAGTGTGGCTGAGGATGGAATGAGCTGGCGTGACTTGAGGTGGCCAGAGAGCAAGCTGGGTCACACCATCAAGAAAGAAGCTGTTCAGCCTGGTGGTAGTGGTGCAAGTCTTTAATCCCAGCACTCGGGAGGCAGAGGCAGACAGATCTCTGTGAGTTCGAGGCCAGCCTGGTCTATAGAGTGAGATCCAGGGCAGGCACCAAAACTACACAGAGAAACCCTGTCTGGAAAAACAAAACAAAAAGAAGCTGTTCTTCCAGCCCCAGAACTATGCTCAGGGCCCAGCACCTGGGGGCGGGGTGTCATCTCCCACTAGCCCCTGCCCCATTCCCTGGCTCAGGGATGGATAGGGCAGAGGTGTGATTGGGCAGGGGGTGATGTGGCTGGGCAGTGGACAGGTCACACTTCTCAGCACGTGGAGAGTGCAGGGTGGGGGAGGCCTGTAGTCACGGGATGTCTGCCATCCAGGCAGCCAGTCTAGTGGGGGAAGACAGGCCTGCTGTCACACAGGGGGCTTAAGGCTCTGTGAAGTGTGGGAGAAAGCACAGGGGATGACCCTTGGGAGAGGGTCAATGAAGGCTTCCTGGGTCTATGTGGGCTGATGCTCTGTCCTAAGTGAGTGCCAGGAGTCATGGGTATTCGTGGACCGGGTTCTAAGCAAAGGAAGATGGTGTCCTGGCTTGCTTTGTCCTTGTCCTAACTCCACTCTCGGGTTCTCCCACCACATGCTGCCTCTTACCCTCCCTCCTCCAGCTTTCCCCCTTCCAGTTCCTCCTTGATTTCTCCTAAGGATGGCCCTTCGGAAGCCCCCGTGAGCCCCAGGTCCTGTTCTGTTCCACTATCCACAACTCTCCACGGCCTTCAGGTTAAACCCAGACTTCCATGGGAGAGGAAGCTGTGTGATCTGAGCCCTGCCGATCTCCTCAGCTTCCAAGAGGCAGAGAAAGGTGAGACCAAGGTTGAGGGGGCCTAGCTGCCTCTTCCGGACGGGGCAGGCGGAACTTCCCAAGATAAGGGCAGCCAACAATGGGTCTGTGTGGCCCGGCTTGTCTCCAGGCCAGAGGAAATGAACAGCCTTCGCACCACTGATCCGCTGAATCCTTGGGCATCCGCTGGTAGGGTGACCCAGATCGGGGGAGCTGTTCCCACCACGGGGCTGTGCCTTCTACCCCTAGTTCCCTCCTTCCAGGACCATGCTTATCCCTAAGGGACTTAGGGGAGGGACTTGGAAGGGCACACACAAGGTTTGGGAAATGGGCCTTTGCTAGACACAAGGGCCTGGGACACACACTGTACCCAAATATGGGGGTCTATTGGTGGGATTCAGGAATCAAGTATGGCTGTGAGGGAGACATCTGGATGTCATGGACTACTCTCTCAGTAGCCTAGAACAGACTCTGCTGCATTGAGAGCTGTCCATGATACTCAGGAGGGTCAGAACCCTATGGCTGTCCCATCAGGGCCAGGCTGTGACACAGACATGAGGCAGAAAAATGACTTGAGTCCTCCTTAGCTGCACCTGCGTGTATGAATCTGGCCGGTCCCTTTCTGCCTTGGGGCCTGGTCTTCCTGTTGATAAAACAGAGCCCTTGTCCACTAGCCCGCCAGTGGAATGTGCAGAGGTCATGGGTGCTGTTGGGCAGCAGGCTGGGCACACACTGCCGTGTGTGTGTGTGTGTGTGTGTGTGTGTGTGTGTGTGTGTGTGTGTGTGTGTGTGTTGGGGTGGGCCGCAATCTCTCCCGCGTTCCTTCCCGGCTTGTCCCAGCTCTTAGATGGAAG